CGGGGGAAAGCCGGGGCTGTGAGGGGGCCGGGCCCAGCGGCGCTGGGGAGCGTCGGGCTGTTGGTGTGTAAACGCCGCTGGCTTCCCCGTTCGCCTTTGGTACGGTTTAAACGCCCAAATAGATGTAGTTGTGCCGGGTTCAGCCGGCGCGTTGACTCTAGCAAACTCGGCTCTTAAACTAGTCGTTTGGTATGTTTATGGAAACAACTTACTCTGCCTGCTGTGGATCCCTGGTAAAGTAATGGAAGAATGCGGCATCTTCCCCAGAGAAAATGAGGTTGTGGATAAACTGCCCTATGAAGCGAACCTCAGCTAAACTTCTCTCATGGTTTACAAGAAGTGGAACTAAAAGCGTGATCATGAAACAATTTATATTGATAATGTGTTTTGGTAATATTTGTAACGAGGGTTTTTCAATTAGTCATTTGAGCCCACCCCACAAATAATATATATCCTATGTAGGATCTATATGCCAAAATTTGGTGCTTTTTGCAGAGTTAATTCTATTTACCTCAAAACTGTGGAGACAGTTCAATTTTCCCAGTTTGGTTTATATTTTGTGTGAGTAGTTTGGAGATAGCCCCAATATTATCTCAGAATAGGCTTTCCGGTTATTGTGCTATGATACTCTGAAATCGTTTGTAAAATCAATAAGAAGGCTCAGAATTAGTGGCTAAGGAACAGAGTCATGTTAGTGTGGTCTTCTTCCTAGCTGACTGGACTGAAAAACTTCTGAAGTCATTTTGCTTTTGGAAGCTGTAGGTTAGAAATTGCCAGATATAAATAAAGACAAAATAGTAGGTTTGGAACAAGCACTGGCACTTTCATCAATAAAATAGTTAATTTGAAAGGCTGTGGCTGCTGTTATGTAGTTCTGACACACACCCTTTTTTTTTCCTAGTAATTTTTTTTTTTTTAAAAACCAATATTTTTGGAAACTGTCTGCCACCTTGATTGGTCCAAAGTACAGTTCTGCTTGCTTATTCTGACCTTTTAGAAAGTCATTGTGGTGTTTAAAAAAAGCAAATAATGTTAGATTCTGGATTTTCCAATACTGACAGATTGTGATTTACAGTTTAGTCACAATGAGACGAAGCTCAATTATTGCTGGAAGCAGCGGTCGGCAATCTATGATGGCACTGAGAGTGCAGGACAGCAACAAGATGGGTCTTCAAACACCTCAGACGTAAGTTTTGCTGATCATCTTGCTAAGAATAGGTATATAAAACTAACTTTGAAGAGATTTACTGTAGTGTGTTTGTGTGAGTAGCAACTGAAAAAAAAAAAATTGGGAGCAGTGAGGAGAAAACTCCCTGCAGCCAAGAATATTTGCACAAGTGCTCCAGTTCTGCAAAAAAACTTTCTTTAATCTGTTTGTCTACCTGTAACACATTTCAAATTGTAATACTTTTTCTTACTTATTTCTTAGGAGATGGCTGGGTGCATGTGTGTATAAAATGTATACTTATAAATCTTCTTGCAGAAGTAGTTTTGATAATGGATGAACAATGCATTAAAATCAGTTGATTTTTCTAAGATGCTGCTGTGCAGAAGATGCTTAGGCTTATATGCATGTGTTTACAGTTTTCTTACATGAGCAAAAGATGACATGGTAGAAATAGTCACTTGAATCCTTCTCCCTATCCTTCAGGAAGGACAAAGGTACGTTTGGGAAGCTGAGCATGAGCAAACCTACACCTGGAACTTCGGAAAGAAAAGTCAGCTTTTTTGGGAAGAGGTATTGATAGCTTTAGATATTTGTACTATAAATAAAAACAATAACAGTCCCACATAATTCTGTAATTTTTCTGTCTTGACAGATTTTCATTATAGGGAATAATGGATCTGAGGCCAGCAGACCTTCAGGTCTACCTTCCTGCACTCTTTGATCACTAAACAATAATGCTGTGGAGTAGGAATTGCTTTGAGCGCTGTTCTTCCTCTTGGGAATGATCTGCACTGCAGACCTTAAGAGCTCCTCAATACATTTTCCTATTTAAGGAAGAACGGTATCTCCAGTACACTCTGCCTTAGTTTCTTCTTCTCTCTAAGATGCAATCTTTCCAAAATTCTATAATCTTTCAGCTTAGTTCATGGCTTTCTGTGTTCTGGTGTCTTGCAGGTATCTCCTTTCATAGGACCCCACTGCTGGAGGGATCTATGCCTTTTAAATATTCCTTAAATATTTTAGTCTTTATTTTTAACCACCTACTTAATTTTGTTTCTTCATCTTTAGGATATTTTTCTGCTCTATAAAACTTTATTTCTTTCAATAAACTGAAGAAAATATTCATCTAGGGTGCATCTGTTGTATGTGTGCATCATGGCTTCTAGCTTGTTGTTGTTGTTTTTCCAATCATTCTAGATAAAGAGAAACCTTCAGGTATCCCTTTGCATGACAAATGCAAAAGAAATGTAAAGATAGCAATTGTGGTGACTTAAACATTAAGAGAGTTATTCTTTAGATGTATTGTCACAAGAACTGTATTTATTTGTTGTTCTTAGAACTAGTGGGGCTGGAGGTTCACGCAACAGTCAGTATGGTGTGTTCGGTACAGAAAAGATCAAGGATCCCAGGCCACTTCATGACAAGGCATTCATCCAACAATGTATCAAGCAGCTTTGTGAGGTAACTTATTAACTTATTCTAAATGTACGTTATTAGGAATAAAAGATACTGATCAAAATATTTATTTTTCATGGTTTCAACTTTAGATTTTATTTAGATTAATATGCCATGTTTCTTTTTCTCAGTTTCTTGTTGAGAATGGTTACGCCCATAATGTTTCCATGAAATCACTACAGTCTCCATCGGTTAAGGACTTTTTAAAAATCTTCACTTTTATCTATGGATTTCTCTGCCCTTCTTATGAACTGCCTGACTCAAAATTTGAAGAGGAAATTCCCAGAGTTTTTAAAGAGCTTGGGTAAGATCATTATTGTTAGTCTGTCGTGCTAAGTAGATATGATACAGCTAGAATTTTAAAAGCTACAAATTCTGCATGATAGCTGGGGAGAACAGATAGGCTTCTTTATTCAAATGAGACTCTGAAACTACAGTGTTGTGATTACGTTGTTTCACTTTTGTTTAGCTCTAAGTTTACTTTCTGATTCTCAGACTCTACTATATATTTTATATTTGAACTTGCAGAACTATAGGCTCTTGGAAGCTTGCTTTGTAATGTAAAATCTAATTAATTATCTTTATTTGTATTAAACTTTGAAAGACAGACACAAATTTTTTGATGGACTCTTCTGGTTCATTCTGTTAAAATCCAAGAACTGAAGTACAATTTCAGAATGTTTGATCTGGCTCATTCAGTTAAAATAACTCTCCTGTAATTTCTCCCATTCTGCTTTTAAAGCAGGGAGTGGAAATAACAAAAATGACCTCTGAGATGAAAAAACCACTAAGTAGCTGGGTGTTTTATTTCTAACCTTGTTCAGCAAGTGTTTGGAATCATTAATGCATCAACACTTTGGAAGAAAGAAAGTCTTCTGCCTGTTGATAATGGTGAATTTTCAGTCTCATTAAAACCAAGTTACTTCTGTAGATTTGAGCCAATGATGGTGTCAAAGCACCAGGGCTCCTTAGATGTAGATATGTCTGTTCTGTTCACTTCTGTTCTCTGTTTTAATAAAATTTTGTTTCAACCTATAACATTTGAAACTGCTGACCTACCTGAAATGTTGAAAAGGCAGTTGCTCTCAAGAGGCTTTACTATGCTGCACCAAGAGTGTAATCCTGGATAAAAAGACTTATTCTGAGAACTCACCTTAAGTTGTCTTTTGAGAGTTAGAAAATGGACCTAAATAATTCATTTTAAAAAATTCTCAGACTGAATGGCTCATGAGTGCTTATTTAGAACTGTCAGTTTATCGGTAGCTTCTTGTCCTATGTTTTTAAAATAACTTTGGGGAGCTGCCAGTCTAAAGGTGGAATAAAATCTGCACTTCTGTGTTCCTTGATTTGTAGATTTTGCGAGGTTGCGTGTAATCAGCAGTATAGCCTTTGTGTGTTCTGTACTTATAGGTAATATTAATACTTTGATACGCAGCTGTTCTGAAATTCTTTTCTGTAATTGCATGACATTAAACTGATTGTCAGCTGCTTTTCCATTTTCAAGGTGCATTTGACTCAAGCAAGAATCTTGCCCTCAAAGAACAGGACTCATGTATCAATTAGTTTTCATATGTTAGGAAATCCTTCAGACTTGCACACCCAGTTTGGAAATCTAAACATCATCCATTGGGCTATTACTCCCTCCTTTGCATTTGTTGCCTTTAAGGTCTTTGTCTCATCACAATTCACCTCGTGCTCACAGGGCACCCACTCCTTTTTCCTTAGTACCGCAGTGCCCATCTCTCCCCTCACAGTAGCTTCAGTGGGAGAAAGATAGATCTGGCTGCTACCAAAACCAAGGCAACATACTAAGCTGAATAGGAAGGGGTTAAGGAGTGTATGAAGGAATACTCTACACTTTTTTGTACGAGGCCTTAATTGTTCCTAATATTTGGATATGAAAAAAAAAAAGTCCATTTCTTCAATTATTTCTTCAATAGCTAGCCAGTCAAGGTAAGTGATTGTCCTACTCTATACCACACTGGTGCAGCCTCACCTTGAGTACTCTGTGCAGTTTTGGGTGCCTCAATATAAGAAGGACATCAAATTATTAGAAAGTGTTCAGAGGAGGGTGACCAAGATGGTGAAAGGGCAAGACTTATGAGCAGCAGCTGTGGTCACTTGGTTTGCTCAGCTTGGAGAAGAGAAGGCTGAGGGGTGACCTCATTGCAGTCTACAACTTCCTCAAGGGAGGGAGTGGAAGGGGAGGTGCTGATCGCCTCTCTCTGGTGACCAGCGATAGGACAGGAGGAAATGGAATGAAGCTGCATCGGGGGAACTTCAGGTTGGGCATTAGGAAAAGGTTCTTCGCTGAGAGGGTGGTCGGTGACTGGAACAGGCTCCCCAGGAAAGTGGTCACAGTACCTGTCAGAGTTCAAGGACCATCTGAACAATGCTCTTAGTCATATGGTTTAGTTTTAGGTAGTCCTGTGAGGAGCAGGCAGGTGGACTTGATCCTTATGGATCCCTTTCAGATATTCTATGAATCACAAAGAAAGAAACCCATGATAATTGAATAAAATAGTGCTGTAAGAACTCAGCTGATCTCCCTTTGATGAACGGTATAAAGTACAATTGAGTTTGTTCTTCCTTCTGTGCCTTGATCTGCATGCAATAATGTGCTGTGTTGTTTTTATCACTGTTTGCCACAGCTATTAAAAATACATTTTCTTTTACCTTGTAGGTACCCCTTTCCTTTGTCAAAAAGCTCCATGTACACAGTTGGAGCACCGCACACGTGGCCTCAGATCGTGACAGCTTTGGTTTGGTTAATTGATTGTGTCAAGGTAGCATTTGTCATCTTTAAGCCAAATATTTCCACTTTTCAGGCTGGAATGTTAGTTTCAATACAGATCTCTTAAATGCTTTCTAGAAATTTCTTTGTTTGACATTTATGTACAGAAAAAGGTAGGTGTTCTTACCTGCCATTTGGGAGCTAGCCCTTAGTCTTACTTTTAGTAGTTTTTAAACTGAGTTTTTACTGTTATATTATGATCATATTTTTTACTGTGCACTGGATAAATTTGTGTATGAGAAAGGAGGGGGAAATGGCAACTTATACGTACATCAAAATGTGAAAAGTTAATGGGTATAATCATGTATCTTCAGTGCAGATCTTGTGACATCTGCCATCTTCTCCTAAATTTGAAATCTAAGGATGGAATTTTCAAGCAATTATTCAAGTGTCCTGTGATTGTTGTATAGATTGGGGGGTTTTGTGTTTGGCTGGGTTTTGTTCAGTTGGGTTTTTTAATAGTAGTCACTGTTGCTGCCAGCTCAGGTCTGAGCAAAATTTGGAATCTGTGACAGAAGTTCACCACTGCTGAATGGGGCACACATGAAAATCCCATCCTTTATGCTGAAAAGACACATTTGGCTTAGCAAGGCAATTTGGCACTGTTGAATGTCCAGTTAATGCCTCTTTGTGCTTTTAGTCAACTAAACACAGGCTCATTACCCTGATGTGATTGGTCACATTCTGAAGCAGCACCGTTACACCCTGCTTGCTGAAATCCTAATCCAATGTTACTCTGCTTCTTATCATGAACATGAAACTACTATGAAAACTTTTGGGGATCCTCACACTTGCTCTTTGTTATGTACACCTGTGCCTTTCAGTTGTATGCTGCCATGAGGCAAAATGCGCCATCATTTGATGATGGACAGAGCTGGGGAGGAGAAACGGATGATGGAATTGTACATAATAAGGTACTATAAAAAGTAAATGACAATCAGAATTGTTCAATTGAATTTTACCATATGCTATAACACCACAAATATGACACAACAATTTTAACTGTATTTATATATTCTGTTCAGTCTTATATTCGGAGTTCTCTAGGAAATATAGTAGCATTATATAAAAAGCCTGATCACCCTAGTTCCTGAGCAGGCATCATGGCCAGTCTATTGGTGAAGACTGGGTATTAAATTGAAATGCCTTACTCTCTGAGTTGCTACTGTTTCTGTTCTCCTTTGTGGAGAAAGGGAATAATTATGCTCTTTGTTTATTGTCTTATTAGGGTCTCGGGTATATTTCTCTTTAGGTTAACAGCAGTACAGTGTAAAGGCAGTGGCTCAATTATAAATGTGGTGGCTCCTGCTGATATCTACTCAGTTTACAATTTAAAAATTAGTTGTAATGTTTAATTTCCTAGGCACAAAATAGGATAGCAATGTAATTCAGGCACTTAAAAATCCAGCTGCTTGCTTTCTTTCTAATTTATCGTAGATTATTAGTACTATTCAGTGTTAACTCACAGCAGGTGTTTGGAAGGGGTTGTATGATGTGTGAGAACTTCTAATTAGAAAATTGCAAAAATCAAATTAAATCAGAATTTTGGACTGAGGTTACAAATGTGGCAGTTGACAAATAGAAATGCTTTTAAACTAAATGTGTGCTTACACACTGATAGATATGAAATTTACAATACTTGTGTAATTACTTCTGAAAAATCTGTAATTTAAAGTCTCCAGTAAATTCTTTTTGGGTAACCTTTCTTTGATTCTAGATCAGTTCTCTGACATCTGTACATCTGAAGTATAGTGGTCATATTTACTGAAGAGGTCTGTTAAACAGACTTACAGTTTCCATAAACTAGCCTGAGAGGATAATATGCTTCAAGATAATAAATTCTTAAATATTGTATCTATTGTCCCTGTTAGGTATCCCAGAAAAATGCATCAAGTGAGTTCTAGATGCCTCCTTCTGCCTGGATATAATCTATTGACATTCTATATTTAAAGGGAGGAAAAATAGTTGATTTTTACAGAAGTGCAGTGAAACCAGTGGAAGATATTTTTGGTGTCTGTTTAATTCCATTAATGTTTGAGTACATTTAGACTATCTAGATATTTTACAACCCTTTCAATTGTTGAAATGAAAACTTTTAAAATTGTTTTCAGCTTTTCATGGACTACTGTGTGAAGTGCTATGAGCACTTCATGAAAGGGAGAGATACTTTCGAAGATTTGGATGCAGAAGTGCAGTCAAAACTAAGTAAGTTTTCATGTTTTAATGAAGTATTTAATTGTGTTACTGGTTTGTTTTCTCCTAGTATCAATTTTGCTCCATTTGCAAGTGAAAGTGATCTGAGGTAAGGAAGCCTGAAATTCCCAAGTACCTCTCAGCTAATTTGTCTTAATTCTCTTCTTTTCCTGCATTGTTACTAGCGCAGACTGATGGGTCATGCTTTGCTGTCAGCCATACCTCTGTAACCCTATTGTTTTCAATGGCCTTGTGACAGAAAAGCAGTATACAGTTCTTCAGATGCAAATTCCATCTATGCCGATGATTCTTGTTTCTGTCAGACAAAGTTAACAATTTTTAAAAAAAGCAATATTACCAGAGGATGCACATCTGATGAGTCAGAAAGTTCATCTTCTAAAACCTCTGAAAACAGTCTGCAAGAGTTCCAAACTCTGTTGTGAAGGTTCCCATATATGATTCAGTATGCACCTGTGTTTGTCTTCAGGGAGATGGAAAATTACTAATTTTTTTGACTCAATCATTTCATCACCTACAGAAATACAAGTGGAATATGAGAACAGGTAGGAACAGTAGTTCTTGCTTTCTGTGGCCTCCTGTGAAAAGCCAGGCTAAGGACACTTCTGTTGCAAGCTGGAGCCATCAGCTGGAGAGGAAACAGAAGCCACTAGACTGTTACTAAATATTAGTAGGAAAAAATAATCATGCCATTGTTTGGCAAAGACTGAGGGAAGTAAGGGAAGAGATGTCTCAAAGGGCAAGGAAGTATGTGGATGAGAAAGGAGTAACTCGGACTACCTTGTGAAACTGGAACAGATGAAACTTATCTAACAACCGCTATCCTGTAGTGTGGGCTGTATAAGAGTTTAAAAAGTGACCTTGCAGGAGTGATTTTGAGCTATTTTGTGACATGAGGACTGAAAAACTCATTTCTTTTCTTGTTTGTTTTGGGGTTTTTGCCTATTAGCTTTGTAATGAAAGGTTTTTTTGATGGCTTTGGTTGGGTTTTGGTGGGATTTTTTTAGTTTAAAATAATTGTCCAGATAATGGCTATTTACTGTGCTGAAGCTAAAGCACAAGTACTCAGATTAGGTGATGATATTCAGTGAGATTAATTTGTAACCACCCCCCTCCTTTTACTTCTTTCCCCCTCCCAGAGGATTTATTTAATATAGATGAATTCCAGATAGAAGGTTTAGCAGCTGACAACAAAAGACTTCATGAAGAGATTGCAAGACTAGAAAAAGAAAAGGAAAGTGAGCCGGTTAGTAAATTGTGTCTATGCTTGTTTATATGGTGGAGTTGAATTTTATATTATTGACCATTATTGTCATTATAAAAGGAAGATACTGATGATACATTATAATGAATGGAAAATTATTTTCAGTGCTCTATGAGATTTTAATTAGGCCAGGTTATTACAGACTCTATACCATTATAGTACAAGGCATTTACTGTGGAGTCGTCAGCCACTTTTTGTTTGATATTGTGCAGATATTTTCAGATAATGAGATCTTGCATTGGCTGAAGTATTAATAAAATACTTGAATGACTTTTTTTTTCTGAATTTCAATATTATCTTTTCCAAAAGTGTTGGTATGAGAAACTCTTAGGGGATGAGAGCATGAGATTCAATTCTAGCAATATATTTTAGGGGAAATGTTTTGGTTTAAAAGATGGATTCTGCTTTTAATACATCATGAGTTTGAAAAAGGTTTAGTGGCTGTGCAGCTGGCAAATTGAGACTCCTGCCTACTGTGCAAAATGTGCTGCCTGTATTCCCAGCTTTGATTGCCCTTAGTCTGTCTGCCTTTATTATCCTTATTTTGTGAATTACCTGTAGTAAGAACGTTCTTAATGCCATGTCTAATGGAAATCAAAATTAAATACTGAAACGCAAGAATTAAGGTACAAACCATCTTTTCAGCCTTTTTTGTTATTATTTTAAAGATGCTTAACTTGATTCAGCTGTCACAGACATAAAAATTTATTAAAGTTCTTTACTTTTATATTTATACCATTGAAGTTGACCAATTACTCTATTGTCTTGTCTGGAAAGTAAAATCATGACTTTAGATTAATATAATAGTGATTATTCTTTCCATCTATTTACTAGGATCGTAGAGTATCACTACGAAACCTGAAATCATCTCTTCAAGCAGATGTCCAGAAATACCAGGCTTATTTGGCTAATCTGGAATCTCATATAGCCATCCTTGATCAAAAAATGGAAGGTGTAAATGAGGAAGTTGAGGCAGCAGGTAAGAAGGCCTTGGTCACAAATCAGATAGTGAACCTAGAAATAGGTTTAAAATAATTGTAATTCTCAGCTTCAGGACAGAGTGAGATACTTTGTGTATGATGATGCTATAAATAAATGTTCCAAATTGGTTTGCTAATGAAGAGATTTTTTTGGCTGATAGCTGTTTGTACAGTAGAGTGATGAAATACAGATATTTACTCATAAAAATATAGAGAGATTAGGTTTAACTATATAGGCTGATATTTTACACCCATTTCATAAATGTTTTGTGAACTTAGAAATGGAAGTAGAAGCGATGAAGCAGGAGAATGCCCGGCTCCAGCACATCTTTGATAACCAAAAGTACTCAGTTGCGGACATTGAGAGAATAAATCACGAGAGAAATGAGTTGCAGCAAACCATTAACAAGCTGACTAAGGAAGTGGAAGCAGAAGAACATCAGCTGTGGAATGAAGAGCTAAAATATGCTAGGAATAAAGAGGCGGTATGTGAAAACCCCACTATGCTGAGATGGCTATCAGTTTTCATAATGCAAGCTTTGACTTGGGACTTGGACTATTGCTACTTCTTTCCTAAATAATCTAATAACTGCATAGATTTGTCTTAACAGGCTAAAATGACAAGAATGGCTTCTGTGTAGAATCCCTCTGAAAAATGCAGTTGTTTTTTCCCCTTTTCTGTTTTGAGCATAATGGAAATGTATTCTTTTCATTTTTTTCTGCATCATAAGGGACATAGCTAGAGTAAGCACCACTGTCAACTCTCACTGTTATAGCATCAAGAGCTTTGATAACATTAGCTAGAAATGGCTTTGATAACACAAGCAATTTCAGGGGAATGTTAAGATTTCATAGCAAGGAAGTAATACAAAACTAATGCTTTGAATCAATATCTCTGCATGAATTTAGGGCCAGATTGGTCCCTTATGTGGAAGTTCTAATAGGTTTTAAGGGCCAAATTAAATTCCCTCAAACAGAATGAAGACATGTGGTCCTGTAAGAGGTGGGATTTAAAAGCTTCTGCTTTGCTAGATGGAGAAGTAAAAAAAAAAAAAGTTTCAAATATGTTTAGCGTTTGGCAGGGTTACACTTTATCAAGCACTTGGTATCAACTTAAATTCCTCGTACTATGCAAGTATGAAGCACATAAAACTGGAAAAAATACTTCTGTCATCTGGTGTTTGCATATAGATGGCACTGATTAATCAGAACATAGAGCATTTAATAAGCTTTGTCTAGAGGTATGCTCAAGTTAAAGTTTGTTACTAGGATGTGTGGCTATGTGGCACTTCCTGTCAAAACCAATGAAAGAAGGCATATGAACATGACAACTGATCATTGTTTTAGTTATTTGTATTATTTCCAAGCACATTTTTCCTTCCCTATCAACTAATCCTCAAAAAGTTGAGTCAGGGAAAAAATATGGCAGATGACCGGGGAACCCACAGGTGAAACCATTCAGTCTCACCCATACACACCGAGAAACCTTGCAGAACAAACTCTGAAAGAATCACAAAACAGTGCTTAATCCAAACAATGCAAGCTGCTGGACTGTCAATACATACAGCTCTTGTGTACTGTGCATGACTTGGAATCATGTTTGTACAGAGCAACTCGGAAACCTGTTTAAAGGTACTATATGAACACTTTTTGCAAAGCTTTTCACTTGTATTTCTTCTGCAATTTTTGCCCTTTTCTCCTCTGAACAGATCGAAATGCAACTGGCAGAGTATCATAAACTGGCTCGAAAGCTGAAATTAATTCCAGTAAGTGCTGAGAATTCCAAAGGCCACGACTTTGAGATTCAGTTTAATCCTGAGGCAGGACCAAATTGCCTAGTCAAATACAGAACTCAGATCAAGGTAAGTAGAGTCAACACTGAATGTTTCTGTTACCACTCACAAAAAAATGCATTTCTTTGGAAATGTTGGAAAGGTCTCTTAACCTCTCCGTGAAACTTCATTGAAAAGCTTGTGTGATGCATTGCCATAACTACATCATAGTATAGGAAGGACATTCGGTATCGGAGAGTACAGCAGCCTAAATAAAAATGAGAGAGGGAAAAGATGTACTGGGGCATATCTTAGTTGAGACTAACAAATTGCATTAGCCAGATTTTGCATGTGTGTTACAGGCTCCCCTTATGGAGATCATAAACCAGACTGAGGAAGAAATTAGGAAAGCTACTCAACGGAAAATGACTTTGGAAGATACTTTGGAACAGGTGTGTTGGTTAATGAAGATTAGGACTAAGATACCATAATGTTATCTGCTGGCCTCATTTGACCTTTTGCATGCGTGAAGTGTGGTGGGTTGGGTTTTGTTTGGGTTGGTTTTGTTGGGGTTTTTTGGGGGGAGAGAAGAAGCTGTGAGAAGATTGCTTTAGTTATGATGGAACCTAAAAGTTTTTGTGAAAATTAGGGTCTCCTCCTGTTGAAATAATGTAGCTTACATATATTTGAACAATTTGAAACATTGGAAAGATTTGTTTTTAATAAGTTGCCCATTCCAGTCTGTTGTGTGCCTTACCATCACTGACAAGTTATCAGGAAGATTTTTTAGCAATTTTGGGTTCGGGATGGATTGGAAGAAGAATTTTGTTTCCCCATTCTTTTTCCCCTACCTCAGTGTTTACTGCTGAGCATGACAGTATATGGTATGGAATATCCTTTTGGCCAGTTTTAGTCAGCTGTCCTGGCTATGTGCCTTCCCAACCTCTTGCCAGCCCCTACCCTACTCACTGAGGGGCCGTGGGAGGGAGAGAAAGTCTTGATGCTGTGCAAGTGCTATTCAGCAATAGCCAAAACATTGGTGTGTTACCAACACTGGTTTAGCCACTTACCAAAAAAAAAAAAGCACCGTACAGGCTGCTATGAAGAAAGTTAATGCCATCCCAGCATGGCCCAGTTTAAAAATTTCTGGGCTACCAGATGTTGTTTGTGATGGCATGGATTTCTATGTTGGAATTCTTTTTGAATTACATTTTCTTGGTCATGTTTTCATTCTAGGTGAATGTAATGGTAGTGGACAAGAAAAGCAGTGTGAAAATGCTGAAAGAAGAAGCTGAAAAGCTGGATGATCTTTATCATCAGAAGCTTAAGGTAGAACTTCTTATAGCTTGATAATAGTTTATCCTTAATGATATCCTTAATCCTTGTATTTATACACAAGCTTTTGGTTTGCATTTTTGTTTGTTTGGATCTCTGCCCTTGCCTTCTTCCATTCCTCTTGCAGGATTCTTTCATTCTTTTCAGAAATATTTGAGTGCTACCTTAAGTGAGTCAGTTTTCACTTTCTCATAAGAGAATCTGGCATCATACTTTAGCAGATCCTGTAAATCATAAGCTACTACATCCAGTAATAAAAGCAGCAGCAATCATCTCCTGACCTCAGGATGTCTCAGAGCACGTGCTTGAAGGAGATTTTAGAGTTAACAGTATCTGCCTTGTTTATTCCGTATGTATACAAAAAATACACTTACAGTTTTTAGTAAACATGTTTAATCACATTAAAAACTAAGGAAAACATTATTTGACCAAAAGCACATTAAAAGTTTTAATGATATAAAATTGTTGCTTGCTTTATTTTTCTTCCCCAGTGGGGGAGCAGTCCTTATCCTTTTCCTTGCTTCTAGTTTAGCAACAAAACATAGCCTTCTCAGTTAACAGCTAAGTGGCTGCTTCAGGACCTCCCAACTTCTCTGACAGCATGGCTTTGATGGGGCTGTGGTGCCTAGGAGAAAAATGCTTTTTGAACTAAGATAGCGTCTAACACACCTGCTCTTTCAAATCCAAACTTCTGTGCTATAACCACAAAACTGGGTTTCATTGCTAATACCTGCTTAGGTGGCTGAAAGCAGTTCATTTAGTTTGTTGCTTTCAAAAACACCTGTAATTTAACTTTTCATCTATGCTGTTGCATATGCTTTTCTCATAATGTGAGCTCATAAAATACTCAGTTGTAACTGGATGGTTATAGTAACACATAGTCACGTATTCATAGAGTCATAGAACACCAGGTTGAAAGGGACCTCAAGGATCATCTGGTCCAACCTTTCGTGGCAAAAGCTCCATCTGGATAAAAGCACTGTCTAGACAAGATGGCCCAGCATCCCATCCAGCCAAATCTTAAAAGTGTCCAGTGTTGGGGAATCCACCACTTCCCTGGAGAGATTATTCCAATGGCTGAATCTTCTCACTCTGAAAAATTTTCCTCTAGAGTCCAATCTGAATCTCCCCAGCAATAACTTGCACCCATTACCCCTCGTCTTTTCCATGTAACTCCTTGTAAAAAGGGAGTCTCCATCTTCTTTGTAGCCATCCTTTAAGTACTGGAACATGGTGATGAGGTCACCCCTCAGCCTTCTTTTTTTAAGGCTGAACAAACCCAATTCTCTCAGCCTTTCTTCATATGGCAGTCCTTTGATCATCTTGGTGGCCCTCCTCTGGACCCTCTCCAGCCTGTCCACATCTTTTTTTGTGTAGTGGGATCAAAACTGAACACAGTGTTCCAGGTGTGGCCAGACCAGTGCTGAGTAGAGTGGGATAATGACTTCTTTATCTCTGCTGGTGATGCCCTTGTTGATGCAACCCAGCATCCTGTTGGCTTGCTTTGCTGCTGCAGCGCACTGTTCACTCATATTGAGCTGCTTGTCCACCAGGACCCCCAGGTCCCTTTCCACAGAGCTGCTCTCCAGGTGGATCCCATCAATTCGTAAGGGTAAAGCTCCTGCAATAGTTCACATGCCAACTCTTCCTTCACTGACAGCAGGTCCGTATTTGTATAGACCTGGGTTTTTGTTCCCAAGGCCTGGGGCCCAACAGTGCTGGTAAAGACAGAGGTGAAGAAAGTGTTGAGAATCTCTGCCTTTTCAGCATTGTTGGTGACTAATTCACCCCTCCTGTTTAACAACAAGCCAGTATTATCCTTCTGCTTGTTTACATACCTGAAAAACCCTTTCTTGTAGTTTTTGGCATCTCTGGCCGATTTCAATTTGAGCTGTGCTTTTGCTTTTCTAACTGCACCTCTGCATGCCTTGGCAATGCCCTTGTAGTTCTGAACAAATATTCGTCCATTTTTCCATCTCTGGTATGCTTCCCTTTTGTTTTTGAGCAATTAAGCCAAGGAGGTCTCTTGGTCCACCTACTTCCCTTACCTTTAAAGGGGATGAACTGGTTTTGTGCTTCTAGCAGAGCGTTTTCCTTGTGTAATTTTTAAAATGTTATCCAGAAGACTTCAGTATTCAAATTATTTTTGAAGGATAATGTTTCAGTAATCTACCAGAGTTGCGTGTTCAATTCATGGCAGAATTTAGTCTGATTTTGTGCATTTAATTGTGCTAAGTATAGTGTCAACAGTGTCATCCTCCTTGGAGGGATTATTACTTATATTTTGTACTCCTCTTTCAGACATAAAAGGGAAAAGCAGTTTTCTTACTCAAATGTGATTTTATTTTTTTAAATCTAGCAGCAGTTGTTCATGATGTTCTATTTCTAAGCTATTAAAGTATGTAAATAACACTTTTTGAGATGAACTTTGAGGGGAAAATAGCTGCAACACAAACCTTGAAATACAGTTAGAGAAATAAAGGGAAGGTTAGGTTGGTTTTGGGTGGAAGAGTATACATAAAATACCTGAAAGTTCAGGTTTGGGGGGATGTCCTTGAGTTTTTTTAGTTCTGAGTTTGGAGTTACTTGTGTGAATTCTGAATTCAAGTATCAATATATAATAAGGTAATATAAAGGAGAAAAAAATCTAATTATTCCTGAGTTATGCAATTTTTTTTTTTTTTTCCTCTTTCCTTATGTTTACAGGAGGCAGAAGAGGAAGAGCAAAAATGTGCAAATGAACTGGAATTGTTAGAGAAGCATAAACAATTACTTGAGAGTGGTGTCAATGAAGGTCTCAGTGAAGCCACAAATGAATTGCATGATCTTCAACGACAGTAAGGCCCATAACTTCAAGTTGTTTGTGTAGTTTAGTTCGGGTTTGATGTGTTTTAAGGATAAAGACATTTTCTTGAATCCTAACTTAAAATTCTTTGGTGAGCAGGTATCCGTCTCAGTCTATTAATTTCAAAAATTCACACTTGAAAGATGTTTCTCCTCAACACTTAATATTTTGCTAGAATATTTGTCTGCTGTATCAGAACTCCTGTTTTCCATATAATATTTTTCATATATATGGTTGCAGTATGGAAATTACTTTCCAAACTTATGTGACAGCCACATTTTACAGACCAAAGTCTGGAAAGACTATTCTGACTCTATTCTGAATCTAAGGTACATTGTTTCTTACTGGTTAGCACAATACAGTCCTTTTTGTTCTAAGCTGGGTATTAATATACAAATCTAACTTGGTTTGAGTTAATACTAATAGAAAAAATTATGGCTAAACATGATGATATATCAGACTTGGTGAAGTGATTGTTTTAGATGTCAGGAATTTTATAATTATGGATGTGACTTTCTGAGTTTCTTTACTTTTTAGATACCAAGTTGTTATGCAAACAACAACAGAAGAGAGCAGGAAAACTGGTGATAACTTGAATCGTCTTTTGGAAGTGATTGCTACTCATGTAGTATCTATAGAGGTAAGCTAAAATTTGATATTCAGAATTAAATCTTTCTAGAGACATTTGCAACTGCAGTTAAACACATGAAAATTAGAATTCACTCTTTGCAATAAAGCATCAGTTACTTAGGGGTGCCGCACTGAGCCTGTGGATTCTAGTTAAATAAATTTGTTGACAAAACTTTTGGTATAAATAATCAGAATTAATCATTAAATTTCAGCAGTAACATCCTGTCAGGTTTAATCTGCTTCTGGTAGATGTCCTTCAGAGAAGTGTTTAACTGAAATCATTTAACCTGTGCAATGACTGCTTAAAATGCTTTAGCAGAACTAATACAGTAGAAACCATGATAGTTCTAATAAACTTTCTGTAACTCTTTTTTAGAAATATCTTGATGAACAGAATGTGAAAATTGACAGAGACTATGAAGAATTTATGTCTGAAGACCTATTGTCAGTCTTGACCGGAATTCTAGACAGTTATAAAAAGAAGGCTGAAAGTCTGTAATTACCAAAAAGGGGAAGATGAAAATGTTGCATTTCTGAAGCTCTGGTATGGTGCCTTCTAAAAAGATGGGTACTTCCTGTGTTTAGTAGTGAAACTGGTTTTAAGTGTAAGGAAATGTTTATGAATTTCCTTTCTTTTATTGACACAAATACATTAAAGAATTCAACAGTGTATTTGCAGTTTCTTAAAAAAGGCTTTGCTTACACTTCCTCCCTGCAATATATTATACATGATTACAAACATCTGTGACAGACAACTGTGGAACAACTTAATTTACTTTTTTCTTTATAATCGAAACATTTGTGCCCTTCTAAGAACATTAGTAAGACGAGTACAGTTAACTTGTTAAAATAACAAGCCAGAGTGGACTTAAAGATGGAACCGCAAGTGACAGCACAAATGCCAAGGGTTCTGACAACTTGAAATACTGCTACTTAAAAATATCTAGAGGTCTTTGTAAACTTGTAAGATTGCAAACTGAGAAAAGAATTACGCTTTCCTTTCTGGAGCATATTTTGTGCATTTCATAATATACACATTTATTTAGTGCACATGCATGACAGTGCACATCCTTCTCAAAGCCTTTCTTTTAGAGCAAGACCAAATGTAAATGTCTTTCAGTTCTCCTGCTTGTTCAGTTATCTATGAAAGTGCCCAGTGACCCCTCTTACATGAGTAAGATTTAAAAAAAAAAAAAGAAATAAAAGAAAACTTATTTGAAAAGAACAGTAGTAGTCATACAGTAGTCTTGTAAATATTCTAGAGAAAGAAAAATAGTCAGTTTGAAAACAAAGTTCTCTACCTGTTCATAGTCCCAGATGAAACTTCACTGTACTTCTTGAATATGTATACCAGAGAGAGCTCTACGTAGGACAACATATGGATTCTGGCAATATAGCTAATCAGTTGTAGATTTGGCTAGTGTTGGATACATCAAAACAGTCTAAAATGAGTCTACATTCTTGTTAGACCAGTAGGACAGACACTATTTGATTTTTCTTCCTCAGGAATGTAGCAGTAAAATTATTGAATGGGGAGCTCCAGTCCAAATACATTGAAGAAAATGTAACCCCATCTCTTGAATGTTTACTTCTTTGTTTAGTGCTAATGTGGAAGTAGTATCTTACCTACTCTGTATATACCTTTGTTTAAAAACAAAAACAATAAAATCACCATTTATGTCTTGGGATAGTTCAGTTTATGATGGTATTTCGTAATAAAATATTGAAGTATTTGAGTGCTTTTGAGAGTTCAGTGATAAATATCACTGATTCAAATATAAAATGATAAAAAAAACTTTGCAGTCTGTTCAAAAATTGTAAGTGGCTGATAGCTAAATGAAGTTGCTCCTTAATTCTATAATTAGACACAATATTTGAATGAAATGCAGATCCCTAGGATATACAACAAAACTTAAGCTGGATCATCTTGAACACAGACCGCAAATAAAAACTGAATTGTCTGTAATTCTAGGCTATTTTTGTAGAGCATGTATAAAACTCAGTTGTCCTTAAGATAGTGTGTGAATCTTCTGGCTCTAGTATGAGTATTTTGTTTCAGATGTTATGATAATGATGGCATTATTTAAGCTTCTAACTTTCTGTTCTTTTGTTGTACTCCAGAAGTTTAATTTGAAAGCTAGAAAAGTTTTCTGACAGGTGGGTAGTATTTCTGCTGTCTTCTGTTGGCCTCTTTCATTTTACCTTTATTATAAACTCTTACTTTGTGGGGGGGGTTTCTTTCTGTAACAGCCTAATCCTTATCAAATCTCAGTTCCTTCTCTTTAGAAAATCTTTCTAATATTTTTGTTATCTAAAGCAATATTCTTCTATTTAAGCAAAACTGTAACATATACAGAATACTCATGTTCCTTGAAAATATGTGCTTATTTAGGGGCTGTGCTTTCTCTTGGCTGCCTGATACCTGTTTGTCTCTGCTTCTATAACAGACTATTCTTGTGTTTATTAATATCTGCAGGTTCTTTGCCATGTGGAGTAGGCAGTTGACTGAGTAAATGAAAGTAAAATAAATGTAATTTCCAAGGACTAATACTAACCCAATGGTAATGGGTTAAAGAATCAAGGTCACAACGACCTTCCTTCATGTATTGGCAAATGTAATATTCTGAAATTAAAGTAGTCTGAGTAATAAAAAGTCCATATTGGTATGTTGGCAACATGTTTTTGTTATTGGGTTGAGCTATTTGTCTGTACCTTGGTTAAACTGAATTGACTTTAGAACCAGCTCAGGCTTTGACCTAGATTCAATAAAATACTATGGGGCTTTTGTGTCGTAATGTAACATAGATTAACATCTGCCAATGTTTACTAGGTAGTATGTCTTCTCATTGTAAAATGGAGAGAATTTTTCAATGCTTCTGGAACATGGCTCCTGTGTGATATTTGAAGTCAGGTAGTCAGTTATTTTGAATTGTATTCTGAAATATGGCTTTTAAATTTAGGCAATAGACACTAGAACATAGTTACTGCTCTTGATTTTGGTTTTGTTTCTTTTTTTACCAGAATGTAAAGTCTTAATCGCAATGTACCTGCACATTTCAGTAGTATGAGTCATTTATAAATTTTTTGGCCTTTGTATGGATAGAGTTCCCTCATTTATTGCTAGTGTATCTTTTGTACAGTTTACTTAGTAAGCCTTAAGTTTATGTATTTTTATACTCAATAAAATTTCTTAAACCTGTTTCTCTGAAGGATAGTTTCTTACTGCAAGAAACATCACATAAAAAGCACAATCAATTTGACTTTCCTGGAGGAACTAGGTAATTAGTGATTCTCTTAGCAGCAGATACTAATTCCCTGACTATCCTTGCTGTTAAACATGCATTCTGTAGAGGAAAAATAAATACAGAAACATCTGTTTCCTATAAATTGCAAAGGAATAAAAATTGTCTTAACCTTTTTAAAAATAGATGGCTTTTTAAAAAACTAAGGAACAGAGGTCCAAGCTACTTTGACAACTGATTTATGTGCACAGGTATCCCTTTGGCGTTAATCTTCCCAACCAACCTTTTGTTATCTTAAACATTAAAGGACTATTTCCTTTACATGACTATCTTCCATCTGATTTATTTTTTTTTACCTAGTTATAAAAAAAAAAACCACTTGATGCTGTAGAAGCATGGTAGAACTTTGTGTGTAGCTGTGTTGTCTTCCATGTAGTATGTTATTTTTCAAATTTTGTTGTCAGAAACTCACATCACTGTCAAGAACTGGGTAGTTCTTTTTGGAGTACTTCTTGAGTTCATCATATGAGCCTGAAAAGGCTTTTTTTCACTTTGTGGTGTCTATTCAGCTCACATGTGGTGAGGCTACTTGGACCCTTCTCATTGGTTTTGCCAATGTACAGTACTGCATGTCTATGCAAGTCTTCAGTTCCAAGCTGGGTGACAATATGTTCTCTGTTGGTTCTGTAATACTGCTGATATTTTGTGTACTTTGGCCTTTAGTGGGGGTCCCCATCCTTGCTCCACCTTTTGTGGTAGAATTGAAAAAACATGTATATATCTTTATCTTATTTCTAGAAAGAGTACAAAAGAAGAAAAGGCCAACAGCTGAAGACATTCCCTTTGCAGTAAGAAGAGGGGAAACTCCCTGCAGCAATGCTCTATAGTGTTTTAATACTGGAAACATTTATGTCTCCTTTCAAGTCAGTTAACCTACCTCTTTTGGCAGTAGTATAGAACAGGGAATTGATCTGTTTTTTCAAGACTTGCTCCTTCCAGATTTTTGGCTGTGAAAGGGTCCTGACATGATGAAATCATGTATTGTTGAGGTCTTTTTCCTTGCAAAGATCTCTACCATATAGGACTCTTGTATCTTCATTAGAGTTTTACATTTTAAATGCTTGTTGAAAGTTTTTGATGGTATCCATTCCCTTTTAAGGAATGGAGGGAGTACAGAAGACTCATACAGCCCTCAATGTCCTCACTGGATGAGGGGCTATTGATGCCTTAGCCAGTGTAATATCCCAGGGAAGTGCACTGACATCTTCAGTCCTCTATCAGGAGATTGGCAGAGACTGCTTAGTCAGCCTGAGAAAACTCTTAAATAATTTTGCAGGCTTTTTCTGTAAAACTTGATTTGTTTACAGGATTTTTCTAGCAGATGTCAGTTTGCATGAGTAAAACAGCAACACCTGGCAGAAGAGTATCTACATGCTGTTTTGCTGTCTTTCAGATTTGCAGGTTAAAAAGTTACTAGAAGATCAAAAGGCAATTGTTACTTATCACAGGTCAGGCAACAGTAGCAATTGCCAAGCACAGAAAATGCTCTAGGTGATTGCTTACACTTGACACTGCCCGTGGTATGGGTCTGGCTGCAGGTTACAGCATAAAACATTAGAGATGCCAGGTCCATCCTGTTCTGCTCCCTGCTGGAGAATGGACCTTTTGTGAACCCCGGTTCATAAGGGTCTACCAGTCCTAGCATTTGCCCAAAGTAGATAGGATCATGTCTACCTACAGGATGATTGTGGTGTCCCTCCATTCCAGAAGTCCTTGTCAACAGCTTTGTGATAACAAGGAGTCTTCATGATGTGTGGTCTGTATGGTGTTTTCCCTAGCACCTTGTGTGTGACAGCACAATTTTAATTGCCAGTGTCTTATTTGACCAGTTTTAGTCTTAAGAGCTCTTCGCACAGGGTTAAGATATAAAAGGCACATGAAATTGACTGTTACTCCAATTTCACCTCCACTGAAATATTTACCAGTTTGGCAAGATTCCAAAGCAGAAGGAAAGACAGGTGGTGATGGAATATGTATAAATATTTTGAAACCAGCAAGCTGTATTAAATTTTGTTTCACTTTTCATACCAGGATTCAGAATAGTGAATGCCTTTGTACCAACAGAAATCGCATGGCCCTTCTGACAGCACTGAAACACTAGCACAGTCCCAAGTGACTATGGGTGCACCCAGATGAAAGGCAAGTCCCTCACTATTATGTCTGGAAACAAGCATCTGGAGTTACCAGTTCTAATTATCTGGCAGGTCTCAATTATCAAGGGTCATTACATTACATTTGAAGTGCAAGAGAGTACACTAAAGTCATGGGCTCTCTTTGACTAATATTGTATAGAGACTTACTGTCCTCTCCCCCTCCCAAGGGTTTGGCCATTGCTTGTAAGAAAGTCATAAGGAAAGCTGCACATAGAGTCACA